TTTTTCTTTAATCTGCTTTCAAAAGCTATAGAATTAGAGAGTCGCACAGGCTGACAGATTCCCACGCTGATGGACCTACGTTCGAATTACGTATAAGAGTTTATGACAGATTTGTGGCCTAGAGCAATTTAAAATCTGTCGAGCCCGAAGTCTTTCTGAGAGGCTGATGGCAGGAAAAGAAAGGATGATGACTCGCAGAATGGAATGCTGTGGGTGCCTAAGAATTCTTTTAGAACTTTTACCCTGTGGGAGACCATATGAAATTCAGGTTATATTATTACCTTTCCACCTCCATTATTGAGACGGTTTTCTTAAAACTTTATTATTTAAAGCATGCGTCTTAAATCAATTTTTAAGAAAATAAAGGACTTAGCTATCCTTTACGAACATTCTGTTCTCCTTGATTGAAGACATAATGTATGCTGAAGTTTTAGTAAATTTAGCGCAGGTCCCGATTTGGTAGCTAGAATATTCTCTTCTGCATAAAAATGCTAATAGCACATGAGGCAGTATTTATCCACAGATCAAATGATTGATTGCAAAAGAATCCTTAAAGTTTCAAAATAGTGACATACATCTGTACAGTGCATGAAATTATGAGAAAACAGAAAGGAGTAATGTGAAATTAAATTGAACATAAGAAAGAAGTAAAGAACTTAAAAGTGAGACTTATTAATAGTGAATTAATATCATCTTACCCTACACGAGCAGCACTCTTAATGTTTTCAAGAAATATTAAAAAACTTATTTCGTTCGATAGCTTTACGCCTTAAATACCATACTCCAGAGTGGATGAGGGCTGACTATTAAAAGTAAATGCCAAGGCCATATTGGAGTGAGAAAGAGGTAATAAAATGCGTAAGTACGAGGATTTAATATTGGGAAAGATAGGAAATGGTGGGGAAAAAACCTTAAATAGTTTTTATTCTACTGACGGATTGACGGATGGCAGTATGTGAATATTAATTTTATATTTGAAATTTTAATGGTATGCCGTACAAAAAGGTGCCAGAAGAGATAGAATTGTATGAAATGCATTAAATCATTGTTTCGAGTTACCCATTTAAATTTTTAAACTGCTCCAGCAAACATATTCTTAAATTCTTCTATTCTTAAAAGTAAAGGAAATAGCGTATTAAGAATATAGTTTACTTTAATATGTCACAAAAATGAGTGTATTTTAGAATTTGAGGTTTGAAGCATTACTATACAATAGACACAAATAAGAAAGGACCTTTTGAAAAACCTTTATAAATATTTCCAAACGCAAAAATCCAGACTGATCCATAATCAGCCAAAAGGTAACGTAACTAATAAGTAATTTAAAGTAATTAAAATTTAATTAATTTCAATTACAGAAACTAAGGGTATTATTAAAAAACTGTGTTCATAACGCTGACCAAGGTATTCCTTTCACAACAGGCGTTGTTTGTATTTCAAAATTTACTTGTAAAAATACAAAGACGTGGACAGAATTAAAAGAAAAGGACAGTTATCGTAAACAGAGGAAATGTACCTGTAATAAAAGTAGACGACGTTTTGTTGTAACGCTTTATTGTTTGCTGTAACTGACTTAAAATAAACTGCCCTTTCTTCCTTTTTTCATTCACCTTTCCAATGCTCACTGAAGAGAGGAAAGAATACGAAGAAAAAATCTTAAACAACCACTCATGCAAATGTCTGAATTATATAAGGCAGAAATCCACGGCTGCAGACAAATAGAGAATGAACAACCGAAAAAAACAAAGAACATTCTGTAACTATTCAACAAGATATTGCTTGTTTCTTAATCCTGAACATTTGACTTAGGTAAAGGTTTATCTGAATAAAGATTCTGGACTGTTTATTTCGGCTTTTATCCTAAGAATTTTATTGACGTTCGTAATAACAGTAGCTAGATCGAGTTTGACTTCAACTAAAAGAATGAACTTCGGTTAAACGGTTAAAGCATATTGCAGTCGCTATTAATTTTGTCGCTATTAATTTTGAAAATTTGTCATCCATGTATGTACTTTTGAACTTACTATTAGTGACAATTAATTATCTTAGTTTATAACAAGTTTTTTCTTTGCTCTAAAGTTTTATTGATTGATTAAGTAATAGAAAAAGTCAACTACCTCTTTACGTAACATAATCTAGCTTAGTGTAAAATGTTTCAAGTTGTTGATATCGGGTAAGTGAATAAAGCAATACAATATTTTGCAGAATTAATACATAATCTTATTTTGTTCTTTCAATGGCGCACAGTTTGCAGTTAAAATGAAATTTATTGCACCCTGTAACAGCTTTGGGATTTAAATAGCGAATCTGTTTCTGGGAATTGTTTTCCTGACAGAAACTCTAAGCATTTTGCGTTTCTCTGATTTACCTCGTATCGTATTTGATTCACTGTATTGCATTTATTCGCATTACCAACTCATCCTTTAATATCATCCTCAGACCTATCAATGGCCGATTGGATAAAAGGCTAATTCCTTTTGGATTGTTCTCATATTTTTAATTATGAATTGTGTCAAATTTTAGTTCTTTCTCTTTTTTCTGTTGAACACAATATAAATTTTAGCCTTTTGTTTTATAAAGAAACCTTTAAAGAAGGCATCCATTCCAGGATCTTAGGGCAGGTGCGCAAAAGCGTACATGGCGTTTTCAAATTTTATCAACGACAAATTTCAATTCGTGATACATTTATAAACAATAAGTGCAAGAAAATAAAAGACATCAATAATGTTTTATTAAAGATTAAACGCATGAGAGCACACCTGTATTTCGGAAGGCTCAAAGTGAAGAGAAATTATTTTGCGCTTGTGACTTTTCCCTGAGTATTTCGTTACACCATAAATTTTATCAGAATTCTGAGGACACTGCTATCGTGTTTTTGTTTCAAATTTCTGACACTAGACCTTATAGGGTTTTACGTTTTTTCTAATAGTTATATTTATTTTGGAACAAGCCTTTCCTATACACTCCTAATCTATCAATTCTAATAAATTCCACCTAATCTATCAATGTTTCCCTGACAGAATGAGATTTCAGGATTACGATTTATGGAAATGAGATATAAACTAGTATTTAAGCTGAAGTCTGGGATACTTCAGTAGGAGAGCGTATTTTGCCTTTCTACAAAACTATTTGGAGCTGCTTGAAAACTGGATGACGCTGTGGAGAATTGTCATTAACACTAACAAAACCAAAGCCATTATTTTCAGAAAAGGACAAACAAACTTTCTTCCGCCTAATCCCATCTTCTTTGACGACGAGGACAAACAAACTTTCTTCCGCCTAATCCCATCTTCTTTGACGACGAAATTGAGTGGACGGATCAAGTGAAGTATCTTGGAGTCATACTTGACAAAAAACTCAATTTTCGGCAACATTTACACGAAACTATCAGGAAATTCAATACCTCAATAGCTACTGTGCGTCCTATCCTCGGCAGACATAGCAATCTGATTATCAACAATAAGCTTATTTTATACAAGTCCATCCTTAGACCTACTTTATTTACGCCAGTCCGGTATGCGGACACGCCGCTAAACCCCACATAAAAAAAGATCTAAGTTATTCAAAATAAAACCCTTCGTGAAATTATTAATGCACCCTGGTTCATCCCAAATTCATATATTCACAGAGATCTTCAAATTGATACTATACAAAATTACATAAAGAAACCTTGCAAAAATTTTTTTCTTTCTGTACTATTACATCCAAACAGCTGTATCAGCTCTTTGCGATGCTCACCTTTTCCTAGAGCAAAACACAAATATCCTTCGGATATTCTAAACTAACATTTTGTTAATTATTTGAAGTTCCTACTACCTTACTGATCCAACTTTTTTCACATTGCTGGTCTATTTTCATTCATTTCATCTTTCTTCGCGACTGATGGCGGCTAAGTGAAATATCTCATTCTACCATCTTGATTCTTCATATTTTCCTTTTGTTGTTCCAGACATTCTTTTATCTGATGCAGAGTAAAAGCGCGCTGTCACTCTCTTTTCATTCGACACAAGCGAGTTGACTCTGTGCAGCTTCGTCTGACTTATTTTATTTTGGGGCCCCCCGGGGGTCGACGTAGAGAACTCTGCGAAGCTACTGGCTAGGATCTGTACCTACGCAGTCTCGGCCACGGGGGTATAAAATTTATGAACTTGGCGGTTCTGAAGGCCTTGGGAAAGGTCACTTATTGGCCGGCCTCGGGGTCTGGCATGTTCTGAGCGGTGTGAATCAGTAGCCGGGGGCTTTCCCCCCCGTTTTCTGGGTAACGGCCCTCTGCGATGAGCTCGCCCATGCGACTGGCAGGTAACAATTGACGACCAGTGCTGCCTGGAGATTTTTCCAGGTGGTGCGCCGCTCCTCTGGAGGGGTAATAGTGGAGGTTGAACTTCTACAATGTACCCCAAAGGGGGAGTGTACCTGTAATGTGATTGAGTTCACGAGGCAGGGAAGCCAAAATTACCATATTTTATCTAGGATTAGCTAGTTTTATATTTTATGTTTTGAGTTAAAGCCGAGGTAGAGGATTCTTGTGGAAAATTCTTTGATTCAAAATGGTCGAACTCTTAAATTCAAAATGAATTAACAGTTAATTCATTTTAAGTTGGAATACAAGGTAATTCAACGCTTCTCCGGAGTTGTTACTTACACTACAAGAACTCAGCAAATAGTCGTTGCACAGTTGTTCCATGTTACAGTTTCCAAGGAACTCTAATTTAGCTAGGATATTACAACCTATGTATATAAGATATAAATATAAGAAATGTTTAATAAAATAACTTAATTCTTTTATATTCCATTAGAAAAAGGAAAAAAAAATCTATGATATTCATTTTACCAAGTGCTTCATAAAAATAGCTATAAGGCTTCATCTGGATGCAAATTAACATCAAAATATTCCATAAGATCTAATTTCTTTATAACACGAATGGTTTTGTTTTAAACATGAATGAAAGGATACTGCAAAATCAAAAACGACAATACAACGACATACTGGTAGTACCTACTCATTTCCTTGACCGCCGTGAACCATGTCACTGGTCTTGTGACTTGTCTGCTGTGTACATCATCAATAGTTTCGACAGTAGATGCCAGAAGATCGATCAATTCATTTTCTCTCAATCCAAAAGTGGTACATGCCAGAAAAGTTGTGACTTTCCGCATAGTTCTAAATCCATGCCTAGTAAAAAAAAGAGTGTTAATATGTAACTAAAATTCTTTAGTTATTACACATATTGACATGATATTTTATAACAGAAAAATAATAAAGGAAATTAATTAATCCAGAGTGAAGAATGTTAACTTTAACAAATTTTCCTTACCTATATTCGTTAAATAAAGTGAGGGCTGATAAAGAATATTTTTAAATCTTTGCAATCAGCAAAACGATCAGCAAAACATATTTATTAATGATGAGATGCATTATCTGTGTTTTCTAAGCTATTTATTTCATAAATGTGCTGAAAATAGCCCTACAGAACGATCATAGCAGATTAATATTTTTTATGAATAAATGAAATCCGTTGATATTTTTTCTTTCAAATTAGTTCTATTTTGTTTTAAAAAAGTCAAATTTTGGGACAGAATATTAAGTGTAATTAAATACGTACTACATTAAACTACAAAAGCATACTTTTAATATAGGTCAATAACCATAAAAAATTAAATATTTTAGACAGAGAAAGAACCACCTCATATTTTAAAGGTTTTAAATAAAATTCCTAACAAAGAGACTGTTACCTAGTTCCAACTAAATTTAATGCACAGATTTCAAAATTCTAATGACACATGACTATCGAATCTGATAGCCATGTGTCATTAATAAATTGGTCAACATGATATTCAATGACAGAGGAAAGGAGAAACGCGATTTCTCCAAATTGCTGCATCCGTAGTCATAAAATTATTCAATGTATTTAATAATTGCTTCGGCCTGCACTCCTGCAATAAACTACACGGCTAAAATATTACCAAATAAACTGTCAGATCAAACTTTCGAATAAATTACGCTACATTTAATAAAATTCTAATATACTTTAAAGTTTGGGAGGAATATTAAATTTTTTTAAAAACACATAGAAGAAATGAGAAAACGTTTAACAAAATTTTAAATCAAATTTCCTCTAACTATTCATTTAAAGAGAAAAGAAATATATAGTTAATTGATGTGTGAGTCGTTAACATTTTTACCGTATTACGAAAGTGCACTTTATCAACATATAAATGCTTTTGTGAATAATCGTTTGATGTTTCTTTAATCCTGCTGAAAAACTACAGTTTTAAATTATTACTGAAATTACATTCATGTTCTCACTTTGTTTAACAAATGAATCAGTGGAAAATTTTCTTGTCTTTCAGTGAAACATAGATAGACATTGAAGTTGCTCCAACAAGAGAAGTGAGGTTATCAGACTGAAATGGATTATGAAACAGGAACACATGAGAGCCTCCATAACATTGTTTTCAGCCACTTAACATCGGATAGCGTAGCACAATGCAAACATCTGAGTGGCTGTACTAATAGCAATACAAGGCAACAATTCATGTACATTGCGAAAAAAAAAAAAAAAAAAAAAAAGATTCGAATGCAGACTGAAAAAAATGTATTTACAGGTTGATGACTGGAGATAAAGCTACTGATTTTTCTAACCATAGCATTGTTTGAACATGTTGCATTGATTGCCTGGAGAATCCAATAACGTATAGATGGACATTTCTTTGTGGGAAAAAATGAGCTATTAATCTTTTAGGAAACTAGCCAAATGTATAGCAGGAATCCGCAATGGATCCAATGCAAACTAGAGGTAAGCATGAAATAATGTCTACTTGAGCAATATAATTAATCCTAAACAAAGATGCCTACTTGGCGAGAAGTATAACGGTCACGAAAGAAGTCTTCATCAGCTCTTTTAATCAAGAGATAATTAGACATAAATTTGTCAGTTGTCTTCACTTAGACAGACAGAAACTATATTCATTAATACATCCGCTCGAATAGCCTACATCAGGCATATCAAACTCAGTACTTCAAGTGGGCTAAATAGCCCAAAAGACTGTACTGTAGCCCAAAAGTACTGTACCCAAAAGAAATAAAAAGTTTGTTTTCATCTTAATGATAGACTGTTAAAGAGAGGAGTAAATACATAAAATCTTTCCTAATACTTGTTGTTCTTTAAAACAATACTGTAGTCCAAAAGAAATAAAAAGTTCGTTTTCATCTTAATGATAGACTGTTAAAGTGAGGAGTAAATACATAAAATCTTTCCTAATACTTGTTGTTCTTTAAAACAATCCAAGGAAAATAATTAAATCCTGATAACAGACAAATAACTGTTCTTTCTTTCCCAGCACCTGGCATCGTTTCCTTCGCAACTCGTTTTGGAGTGCGGTAGTGTGACCATTATGTCTCCACACAAGACAATTTTCAGAACAGAGGTCAGATGAAGTCGTTAACATGGATTTCATTAAGGAGTTGTTCCTTTTCATACGTGAGAAACGCTAATCCCACTATACTATCGAACATGAAACTTACAAAGTATTTTCTACCTCTTTACTGCGTACCTCTGTGGGGTAATTAGAACGCACACGTCCAGCTGGCAATGGGAAGGTCCGAATACTTCCGAGGGGATCGCTGATTTCTCACGGATTCAAAAAATTTCTAAATCACACTACAAGGGGCGAACGAACTAAAAGTTGGTGCAGGATAATTCATTACTTTACAGATTTAGTGATTGGTTCCGTTTGCCCTTTAAGAGGCGGAGTCTGTAAAGTATTTTCCTCTTCTTACCGCTTGCGTTCTTGATATAACTGAAAAGCATATCTTGCTAGCAGTCAGAAGGTCTGGAGTTCGAATACCGCAAGAGCATTGCACTTATTTCATCTTTACTGCTTCAGAAAACCTAATGAGTCTACAAACTCACGTTTGATGCAGCTTTATAGACATCGTGAAGGCAGGTACTTGTGAAATTCGGAGATATCCTTTGTGCTGAATTCTTGATTCGATAGAATTCCAATTTCTATCAGTATTATAATTACACAGATTTTGTTCTTTTCTAGAGGTGAACGAAGGGCCTTAGAGAAATGAGTGAAGGGCTGCGAGTTTGACATACCTGACTTACATTCAATGGCAGATCACGTTATGGTTACCTATGGCATATTTTAGCCTCCTATAATTTTCGATTTGCTGTTTAATTCTTTATGGTAACGTCTATAGCCAGTAATGCAATATGCTGGATACTGCCTGCAGTGCTTTGTGAGTAAATATCGAGTGCATTGTAAATAACGTAAAATTCCAAGGTACAAATAGTTAAGCGGAAATACGTCTGGTGAAGAGCTCGTGTGCCATGCTGTTTTTCAGTTCTCCTTGAATGTCCGGTTTATGTGCTGGTACGGGCACCCCTTGGACGATGTACCTGGCTAAGTATTTACGCAGAGGAAGGTCTCTGTCAGCTTTCGAGTAAAGACTATAACTGAGATCGAGCGACAGAAAAAAAAAAAAAAAAAAAAAAAAAAAAAAAAAAAAAAAAAAAAGCTGAACTCCCTTTTTCTCGACTTGTTGCTACATTGATGAAAAGAGGAAATGATAACGTTCCAGGTGACTAGAAGAATCTAAGACAGTTACTGTCGGTTGGGATATAATAATACCCAGTAAAATATTTTGGAACTGAAACTAATCGTGAAAGAATGCCAAGGAAATTGACAATAATTTTATTCATATACCTACCTCCTAAAATTTTATGAAAAATGTGATTCTTTGCACTTCTTTTCAATATTGCCTCACGTAGAAAATTCATTAAAATACAAATGTTTCAGAAATTTACTTACTTTGTATTAAACCTGTTATTTCAAGCAACATAAATTTTTGCTTTCATTTAATTACGTTAGTAAAATGCGTTTCTAAGGGCGGAGGAAGAAAATATTTTGAGTTTTTTGAAATTGTGTTTAAATCATTATTGCCCTATGATGCATAATTTCTTAGACACTTTTTCTGAGATTTCCTTGTTTATCTCCAATTAAAATATGTCATTCGAAAAAAAATTAATAATCTGATATGGAATCTACAAGCCATTCATTTTCGTAAAGGCTAGATGTATTACTAATCTACTCCAAGAATTTACATTTTTTTATTTTAAACCAAAATTTAATACTGAGCATTTATATATTTATAATGAGCATTATATATTTATATTATACTTACATGAGCATTTATATATTTGCTCATGATATGTATTAATTAGGAAATCAAATGAAAATACACGGCACAGCATCAGATATTTCATTTCTTTAATCTGATCGCAAACAGAAATATTTCCGACGTATTACTCTCTGTTAAATTTGATACAAATATTTAAACTGTGGAAAATCTACAATCGGATTCTGGGAATCTCAAACTGAGGACTGATTCGAAGTAGTTAATAAAAGGCTTGTTAATTTCGAATCCTACAAGAAGCACGCCGAAAATTCCCAAAAATAGATCCTCAACGTAACGCAATCCAATCTAATAGACTTCATGTTTAATGAGCAGAAATCCTCGGGTCTAATTGAAAGTCTTAAGCTCAGCAGATTAGTCGGTCCAAGTAGGATTTATACTTTCTCCAATTAATTATTAACTTCCCAGTCACTAGTATCTTTGACGAATGCGGCTTAATTATAAAAAGCACAATATTTATCGCTACCGTGTTGCTAGGATTTAAATGTAAACATACACTGTAAAAATTTTTATTAGATTACTAAAAAACTTCGTGGCAATTGAAATGCCGTGGCTTTAATTGAGAAACAATAACAGATGCGTTCTCAGGAACCTTACTAGGATTATTACATGTACAGGCTTAGAAGATTTGCTTGTAATATTACTGCAAGTAATTATGCAAGCGCTTTTTTAATGTAAAATGACAAACATAAATCTACTAAAGTTACTGATGATCTGCTTCTAATATGGCTGCAAGAAATTGATATAAGTAGACAATACTTACAATGAGAGCAATACCAAATGTAATATGGTTATAAAGACTTGAATATTGAGCAAAAATGTGACATACCTGATACGCACAAATACGGTGCATTTGCATGCTCGTGTGTATCAGATTCATGGAATAGGAGCTATTGAAATTCGATATGATGATATGCAAGACTGAAACGTAAATATATTTATGTAAAAGATAAATTATAATTTAAATTAGCAATAGCCCCCTAATGCTTAAATGTTCATTTTCCCTCTCTATTAAAAAAACAGAAGCCTTTATCTGCGCTGTGTCATTTCGAAACTATTCCCTGTCGTAAGACTCTTAAATGGAACTAAAACTCAAACAGCCAATAATAATTTTACATCAATATTAATTTTCCAGTAAATACATTGAGAACCAAAAATTAACTCATTCTGAATAAAGATTTCCTACTGAGCTTTTTACCATTCGGCCAAGGTGGATTGATGTCTGCTGCTCTCTTTTACTGCAAAGTTATAAAAAATGTAAGCATTTTGAAATAGGCAAACGTAGTGTGCTAAGTTATTCAAGCTAAAACATATCTAAAAGAGAAATTGTAATTAAAATTAGCGATAGCCCCTTAATGCTTAATTTGGTATTTTCCCCTCTGTATTCTAAAATATCATAGCCTTTTCTGCAGATTAATCCATGCCATATGACTCTTACGTAACGCTGGTGATGTAAATGGAACTAAAACAGCCGATAATAATTTTACAGCAGTATTAATTAACCAGTCAAATGCATTGAAAACTAAAACTAATTCGGAATTAAGATTTCATCCTGAACACAACTTCACTTGCTTTCTACTTTTCGGCCTGATGGACTGTTCCCTGTTGCTCTTTCTTACTGCAAAGCTATCATAAATATAAACATTTTGAAATAGGCATAAGTAATGTTTGAGGCCACAACATGTTTCTTAAAATAAAGATGAATGTTTATTCTGCCTCGGATGCCAGTTTTCTATTCATTATGGATAAACATTCTATGCAATCAAAATTCTTGCTGTTCATTACAGATTCAACATTCTACATTCTATGGTATTTAAGTGCTATGCCATCAATATTTCTAAGTGCTTATTTATTGTGCTTATTTGGTTGGCAAAGAACTCGACAGCTGCGTGCCTTTGTGGGAAGGATGCCTTTGTGAAGAAATGTTTTAAGAGAAACTGGCTTATATACACGTTACACATGATGAAACTACAAAAACGCCCATGCAGCCAACCCGCTTGTCGGGATTTGAACCAAGGACTAGACTTACCAGTGAGAGACTTTGGCAGCTGGTCAGTCCGTATTGCCTATTATAAGCTGTTTTCTAAAATGAGACAAAATCTTTTTTCTCTTTACTAAAAGGTTTTATTTTCTATTAATCACTTTGAATTCACTGACAGGAAGTTCAGCCCATCTATTTTTGAGATTCAAACGATACACTTTCTCCTTCCCTTCTCTCCTTTCAAGCTCTCTTACAAAGGGGGGGAGATGGGGGTAATTGTGCTTTACTGTATGTCATTATAAGAAGCATAACTGTTCCTGTTGTTAAATGGGTAATATGAATGCAGCACATAATTTTATATAACTCACAACATATGTATCAACTTAATGCTTATATTATTAGTACGGCTTTTGATCAAGAGCATCATGTTAACGAAATTTCTGGAGAAGCAAAAATTATATCTGGATTTGCAACTGCAATGCTAATGTCTCTTAAGCTCGTTATTAAAGGATCGAATATAATTTAGTAATTTTAAATACAAAAAATTAATAAAAAGTTTCTTTGGAAAAGCATTATTTTTTGGGGGTTGGAGGAAGAATTCGATAGCATGGAAAAATAAATAATTCTGAATTCACTGATAATTAAAAAATAATTACATTTCAGCATTTATTTTTTTGTATTCGCAAACAATCTAGATGTTTAAAAGGTATTTTCCCCCTCTTTCCAGCATGCTTTCGTGGTGTAATGGTAACACGATCGGCGCGTCGACGATTTTCATGTATCCAGCATAAAAAACACCTAATGACTGTATAAATTGTTCCCCAAAATTATTATTTTTTGACATTAAAACTTATTGTAATAATTAGGAAATGGTAATACTTTCTTTACTTAATATCAAAATAGTGAAAATAGATATAAAAAGTACCTTTCTTTAAGGCCCGTGAGTATGAAATCAACCACTTCTTCAAGTTTGCTTGGGATTGTAAGTTCAGAAATTTCCATCCATGAGTGCCATGTCTCAGCTATCCTCGATAACAACTTAATATACAGAGGACAAGGACTGGTCTGAGCTAGTTTTGTTTTGATCGCTTGCATTTGTTCTGTCGTGAGGGTATGCTTACGGTCCTTCAAATTCGATTGCAGCATGCTGATGGCCGCGGACGGTCCAAGATCCGGTATGTGAACAAAGTTGTCACCCGTGGAGGAACGAGAGCGCAATAAACGGAGAACACCTTCTGCTTCTTCGCTGATGGATACGACTACGTGGACGTTCGGTGGAAGGTTCCATGGTAGCCAACCTAAAATAGCTGACTGGTTGCTGGCAGGGGATCGTAATTCGTGAAGATCGTCCAAAACTATTACTAAGTCAGTAGGAGTTTCTTCGACCATCTTCAGTAAATCCTGAAAATAACATTTTATTAAAAATATTATAAAATAATGATTTATATTTATTACGTTCGTTAAGGTCTTAACGTATGGTTTTTTGTTCACATCTTTTCTCTTTGCTGAAGATCAAGGCTCTTTTCTTACTCCGAATATTTATTTCTTCGCCAAGGAATGAATGAAGCTAAATAAAGGCAAATGTACTTTAACTAGTTTTTTGAAGGAAATATGGCAATGAATGCTTTGCGAAGTCATGGTGAAGAATGATCCTGAGCGACACACATTACACAATTTATGTAGTAATATCATTATATATTTTTAGCTTTTCTGCCTGTATTTTAAACTACGATCGGTGTGGGATTAGAGATAAAAAGTGCTTTTTTGCGTCGTAACAATAACACTTTTTTTCGAACTAATTAGGAAGCAATCATTTCGGATAGTTCACTATATTTGCATATAATGTACTAAAGTTATTTGCGAATTAAATTTTTTTCATTAAAGTTATTTGTGTATTATACAGTGTACTGAAGTTATTTGTTATTACATAAATATATTTATCTCTCAAGGATGAAACATTTAAAAAAAGGATAAACAGAAAAAAAAAAAGTTGGAGATGGGTGGCGTTTTGAACTTGCCTTAACCCTTTGACCGGAACGGGGTTTCATTAAGAAAGTCCAAATTTCCAAAATCTGTCATGAGAGAGCTATTTTCTTGATTTTAATGCCAGAATGCCCTGGTGCATTATACATGGATTTTACTTTTAATATATTGCATTAATTTCTTAAGTGTTACTTATTCTTTATTAAAATTAATTGTATGTAATACTAAGAAAATGTATGAAAACTGAAAGAAATAATCATAAATGTTAGGCAGTTTCCAAAATTTATTGAAACACAAGTTTTCAGATTTATTTCAATGGTATTACTGTTATCATGTTTCTCGAATAACAGCTTCACATAAGAATCAGCTTAGCCTTTCACATTTACCACACAAGAAATTATCATTTGGGAACCAAGAAATATATCGAGCTTTAAATTAGAACTGATTGAACGATGAATCTGATGCTTTCTCTTTAGTCTGAAAAGATCTAAAAATTAACGTAGGATACTAATTCAGAAGTCAAACAACAAAAATCAGCGTTATATTTTCAAAATTTTCACAGGACTAGTTTCGATTGTTTTACCGAACCACCATCCTCAGCTGCAAAACCGCAAATGAACAAGATAGGAAATAGTGATTAGATAAGATAAAGAAGCCTAGACAAGAATAAGCAAGTGGCGCCAACTGTTGGTGAAACCAGAACTAAAACATAATTTCTTTAACGGCCGAAATCAAAGATGGATTGGAATTAGGATCGTTAACTAGAACAGAAAGATTTTTTTGAATGTGGAATGCCTCTAGAAAATCCAGTTCTCCAATGGAAGAAGTTTTTTGAATAATTTTGGCAGCAGAAAAATTGAAAGTGTGATTTTCGGACCAACATTGTTGAGCAACAGAAGACTTCTGTGTTTCCTTTTTTCTAACATATGCCTCATGTTCCTTGACGCGAAATTTTAAGGCTCTCCTAGCTTGGCCAATGTAAATCAAACCACACTGGCAAGGAATCCTATAAATACCCCAAGAATTCATATCTGGAATGGGGTCCTTGAGTATGAAAGTCGGAATTTTATTGATGGGAGAATAAACAACCCGAAAGTTAAATTTCTGCAAAATATGTGCAACTTTATAGCTAATTGATGGAAAGAAGGGAATGACAACAGGGTTCTGTTTGGCAGCAGAAAATCACATTTTCTACTGCCAAAATTATTCAAAAAACATCTTCCATTGGAGAACTGGATTTTCTAGAGGCATTTCACATTCAAAAAAATCTTTCTGTTCTAGTTAACGATCCTAATTCCAATCCATCTTTGATTTCGGCCTTTAAAGAAATTATGTTTTAGATCTGGTTTCACCAACAGATGAAGCCACTTGCTTATTCTTGTCCAGGCTTTCTTATCTTATCTAATCATTATTTCCTATCTTGTTCATTTGCGGTTTTGCAGCTGAGGATGGTGGTTCGGTAAAACCCTCGAAACTAGTCCTGTGAAAATTTTGAAAATATAACGCTGATTTTGGTTGTTTGACTTCTGGATTAGTATTTATTCGGCGTGTTATTGTGTCTGAATTAACGTAGGATATTATTCTCGTACGTGAAAATGCAATATTGAGTATTTTCAACGTCAACACATTGAACATACTAAAATGCAATGAGATATTGTGCCATATTCAGGTCACGCGTAAACATATTTTTAGCGTTCAAAAACAGCATTTAACAGCGAATGATGCGGTCAAAGAGGTAGTCATAGATTAGTTTATCGAATAACCTTCATCGGTTCAATTACATTACTCGTTCACTTTTTCCATGGTACGGTGTTTTCCCAAAATATTGATGTTAGCTGTTATTTCTGGTTATAATTTATCCAGGTTAGTTAACCTGATAACGACGTTCATTTGAATGAATCTAACAATTGACAACAAGACTGAACAGAATTACTTTATTAACTATTACAATGAAGACATATTTTTCGGATGGGAAAGAGTTGCTAATAAATCTGCTGATTTTACGTGCTTACAAAATATTTGTAATGCTGGTAAAAAGGCGACAGATGCATCCTCTAAAACCTCTGACGAATGGTGCAAAACATACAGAAGCAGCATCTTTCATTACCATAACAAATATTTTTTTTTTTCTATAAAAGTATTATCACGCAAGCCACGACTATTATAATAAAAGGTAATTAAAAACTCTTGAAAATTAATTTGAAGTTATTCTTACTTGGAACCAAATGCTTAGTTCTCCTAACTCATAGCTGTGATGTTTTGGGCTAAAATCGAAAGCTAAACTGATGTGTAAACAAAGATTTCGTAATAATTCGGATGTGTAGGTCGAGCATGGGCTCTGTCCCACATGACGTACTATGCGAATGACGTCACCACCAAGCCATTCTGTGCAGTAAGTTATTACCTGAAAATAAAAGTATATAAAAAATACAAACGAACATTTTCTTGAGGAAACACAAAGATACACTACATCATTAATAGAAGAATTCATATTTAAAAGAAGAATTGACATTTATATGTTTAAGATTTGCGCTGATACTATGCATTAGTATTCGATTAAAATTAACATAAATTGTGGTTAATCTATTTATTTATTTTTTAAAGTGTTCCCTTTTAAAAGCTAAACTTAATGGATATAGCAGAAAATAAAGGAAAACTCATCTATAATACTAAAATCACATATCGTTACATTTTCTTATTCTTCTTACATTTCTTATATCATTTTTTTATCAAATCGTTACATTTTCTTATCGAGGAATACGAACTGTTGATTCGGAAATGAGGAATAATGAAATCTTCGATACCTAAGCATAGATAGGTATTTAATCACAATTTTGGATATGGTTTTGCGAATATAATTCACGCAGTTTCTTCAATTGGTGAATAGATCTTTCTTGAATCTTTTCACATTAGCAAACGATTTTTGTTTTAGGTAATAATATTAATTGCACTCTAATTCCTCTTCCATGCCTTTAAAATTCTAATGCTTTGGCTTTCTCACGTTTCATTACTATTTAGCAGCCGAGTGATAAAATCCCTGAACACTAAGTCAGACTTACGTTCGATCTTAGGCGAACAGGCTGAAATCAGTGATTTATGTTTCGAGGCGTTACGTAGGGGTTTTCACGTTTTTGCCCCATGTGTAACGTGTATACGAGCCAGTTTCCCTTCGAAAATCTTTCATAAAAATAGATCTAGCGTGCTTTGTTAATAATCAACTAAACCAAAGCATTACAATTTACTCAATAAATCATGGTGTTTTACGCCGGTTAAATGCTGGTAGTTTGCCCTGGGTTCAAGTCCAGGCAAACGGAGCTGGCTGCAAGGTTGGGTTTCGTGGTTTTCCGTGTATGTAATGTGAATGCGAGCCAGTTTTCCTCAGAGAGTCCTTGACGAACGCATCTCTCCTTCTAGGTAAATTACCTTTGAGGCTTTGCCATACTGAAAAACCACACATTGCTTAACATATAAAAAAATTTCACTCTTCCCAATGCCGCAGTTTTTTCCTTTTACACTCCTGAATAATAAATGACTGATCGCCCTCGAAATCGACAGAATTTTTTTCAGCATTTATCCAACATAAATTTGCTTTTTGCTTAATTTCATCTTTACATTATGTCTAGATTAATGAATTATATGCAACTTAAATTTGGTAAAGTTAACAAAATTAAAAACAAGTTATGGCTGAAGGGAGATCTTATCCTCTGCAATTAATTTTTTAAAAATAATTTCTATCAGTTTCTGACAATGGTATCTATTTCAATATATTTCGCTATGCAATTTGATTTTGCATTGCAATGCACTGCAAAAATGTTTCATGTTTACAACTCCGGAATGATTACTTTTTGAATAACTGCAGAAAATTAATCCTTAACTTATTTCTATGAAGTTGTTCCCATTTAGTACGTCCCTTGGAAATTGTGAATCTCTTTATAATAAGGTGAAGTATTAAGTTCTTAACAACTGTGGTTGTCGCAAAAACTGAATTTACATTGAAAGTCTAGGAATTTTCATATGCTCATGACAGAAAATACCATTATGAGTAGGTGTCAAAATAACAAACATAAGCTATTAATAGATATGCAGATAAATAATTTAAAGATAAATTGAAATATATACCACATATCAGGCTACCTTAAGCATTTTAGATACTCTCATATTTGCTTAAAGTGGAAAACAAAGGAATTATTTTAAGAATTCATGTCATCGAATTCAACTTGACGTTTCCAATTCCCTATTTATGTTGCGAAGAGAAGTAAAGAAACAAAATAGAATTCTGAAAAGCAGAATACAATTTCAGTCAGAAACACGAGAAGAAAAGATGGAAGATGCCTCAGGTTATGGTACAACATAGCTTAATTCAGAATGCGTTGGATAACCGTAAAATGAATATTTTTTTTTCTGTCAACTCGAGGGACGTCCACAGTGTTTTTTCAAGTATATTTCTACATTTATTTATGTATACCTTCATGTTGCTTTAGACATACAGGAAGAAAGAAGTTAGGAAAAACGAAAATGTTTGATGAGCTTTATTTGTTTTTGCCCATGAGGTTACGAAATGAGCTCCTCTTTTGATTATGGGATTTTTACCTTTCGATTTATTAAGTATGTAATTTAATTTTTGTATTCATGATGTTTGCTTCTTTTGATTCAATGAATGCAATTTTTTAAAAAATTCTGAATAATTAAATACGTTTTAAAATATATAAACAATAATATCAGTTTTCTAGTTATTTATGCTTTAAGGTATGATAACATGACATTTATCTCATTTTATAATAAAACTAAAAAGTGGCTGAATGATACAACTTGGAGCAAGATATGAAAATCACAAGTTCATCGGAGATATAAAAAAGATATTTTTTATTGCTGTAAGTCATAATTGAACGAAATAGTAAAATAAGAACTGAATAGTTAAGTTTATCTTAATGAACTATTATTTAAGATATTAAAATTAAAGATTAAAATTATATGGGGTAAAAGCTGAACAGTGGGAATATGTATATGAAGCTCTCATTCATAAGAAAAAAATCGTTCTTGATATGAAAATTGCAGGTATAAGAATGCTTTAAGTATACGTTTTGTGTCTCATTAAGCAAGCATATATATATTTACATTATAAATAAAAACTATTATTTACGGATTTCATTCTTTCAAAATGGGTGCAGTTACCTTCCATTATAAAATCCCATCTAGTTTTAAACAAATAATTCTTGTTTGTTTAACTGATTATGGCAAAACAAGCTTTAGCTATCTACCTAAATCGATGAATGCATTTTGGAAGAATTTTCTGAAGATATATTTACGTTTGACACGGGAAAAAACAAGAAAACGCTCATAGAGTTGTCATTCCAACTCGTTCGTCGGGATCTAAACTTGGATAGAATTGTAAACTGATACTATTTTATCTTTTCGCCATAGATATATTAGCTCCCTTTTGTATTTGAATTAAACACTAAATAGGCGATTTTAAAAGACAAACAAACATTTATTAACATGTAACGTATTCTTAAACTATGTACATGTAACGTATTCTTGTTTTAAACGTACATATCATAACAGACGTTCTTACTTTTCTCCAAAGATATTCTGTCTAATAACAATGAATAATTTACTATCGTACTTACAGATAGAACAGATAGTCTCTCCTTCAGGATTTGACAATGTAAGTGAGGAACGCTAAAAAAGGACAAGAACACAGACGAAAGGCACCTTGTTGCACTGCTTGGCACTGCTGTTGAGACTAAGTGAACGATGCTAATGACGGCTTATCTTGACTACAATGTAAAATGATACTGAAATCCTATTATTAGACATATCTTAGCCTTTACTAGAATGACTAAACAATTTGACTGGAAAAACCGGGAAATTAAAGAACTTCATTAATATATTTTAAACAAAAATTCTTTACTTCTTTTGCGATGCTACAGTGTTTAAACGGATGATGATTTTTCTTATGTTTCCCGGACCAATTCTTTTTAATATAGCTTCAACGGGTATTATTATGCTTAAGAATATATTTTACAACAGAATTAAATTTGAAATCCTAGGTGGCTTAACAACTTTTAAGGAGCTATGTGATATGTCGTCACTTTGTTTCATTATGTTATCTTGTTATTTTAATATTACCTTTCTTTCTTATTTTCTTGAATGGTCTAGAGATCATTATATTTAAAGGAAGGTTGTAAAATCAGTAAGTAATTATACAAGTTCAATCAATAAACGCTGTGCAAATGTAGCTTTTCATGAATGGATTTCAAATGTTTCGTCGCTTAGTGGGAAACGAGAATAAGGCTCAGTTTCTCGTTGCCAATATACCCCTTCTCTTGAATTTTTCTTACAATATAAAGATTGTTTTCTTGTTTACGTCAACAAATCTAGAAAATACAACGCATCCGTCTCTCTAGCAGCTACCGTAGTGTAGTAGTGCCGCAGAAGTTTCTAGTGGTAGATTTATTAGCTAACGAGTTTGGTCAGAAGTCAAAATTATGTTATTTTCCTTCTAATTCATCTATATATATATATATATATATATAATTTTAATTTTCAAGGACATAATCAGACTGCCACTTCTTTCTAACTAACATGTAAATTAAAACATTTGCAAATTACTTCATTGAATTCAAATTATAAACAAATATTTCAAAAGGAAGCTGATCTTACTTGTGAAAGAAGAGTAGATTTGCCGCATCCATCCTTGCCACAGACGATGATAGGAGAATGTCGCAACTTTTCGTCATCTCCCAACATAAGCTGCTGTATGTGAAGCAGAGCCCCACAGTCACTATCTAAGGACTGGGACACACCAAGCTCTCGCAAGTAACGCCGACTATTTAGAAGGTGACTTTGAGATTCACGCATCACTTCCTAATAGAAATAAAACTTGATTAAACAGAAAAATAAATTTGTGTGTATTATGCACAAGACACTAGAATTATTTGAAATAAATTTCCTATGTGAAAATTTAATATTCAGTTGTCAATATGTTTGAAATACAAAACGTAATTATCAGAAATTCCTTGCAGACACCAACTTTTAGATTTCAGACAAAAATGTTATATATATACACCTGGAACTTTTCCCTTTGCGTAGTTATTATTGTTTCGGCATGATTTGATAAATATTTAGAAATAAAATGTAAAATTTAGCTTTGTTAAAAAAACTGTATTTTGGTAAAACAATTTCGGCCCGTCAACGGCTTTCAGATCGTGCATCCCCCCCATATGCAATTTTAATTTGAGACCACTGGCTTATGTGGCCACTGCAAGATTCTAAACTTAAGTCAGTGTCTCGCTAACCATTATTTGGTATCTCTAGACGTATTTATGCGCATATGGTTTTGTTATAAGACACCAAATTCATCATGATGAATATTGGCCATGAATAAGCATAGCTTATTAGAAGGAATGTGCAACAAAATTCATCTTTCAGTAACGTTTGCAGGTGCTACGACGTCCCATTCAGTGACAAATAGATTATTTTCATATCATTACGAAACCACCAAAGCCTGTAGAGGTACAGGTTGAAGCGGCTGAAGCCAGACCGACACCTGTGCTATACCAACCGGAACCGGTTGGTATATTGGGTATCGATGGGCTAAAGTAATCGTCCCAGTTTTGTGGATGAAAATTACGGGAGGTGGTCCTAGGGTCTCCTCCTCCTCTTACACAAAACTTTATTACAGAATACATTCTTAATGCACATGAAGAAAGTTTAAGGTTAAAGTAGTGAAAACAGTTATGTATTTGTTAATTTGTATACAGTTTCAATATATACATATCTATATATATAAGTATAAAAAACCGAGCACTTACAAAATATGCTATCGAATATAAGTAGAAGAATACAGTGGAATATCGGTTTACAATTTCTGATGCTCCTTAATAAACTGAAAAATGCAATGCTAAACTACTTTGTTGCAAAATTAATAGGAATCTAAAACAGAATATACGATAATATTACATAAGAACTTCACTGATAATGCTGCCTAGCTACTAATAAATACATGATAGAAAATACTCCATATGAAACATTAGAATACTGATTATTGAGATATCAATGAAAGTAGTTGCTATGTACTGGATTCTAATTATATATACAAAATAAAATACTGATTATAGGTTCAACAATGCAAAAAATATAGTTCCCATATTATGATGGTCCGAAGGTCTCTCATCTCTCTTTCTCTACCACCAGCCTCTGAAGAGAACATTCGGTTCAACGTGTATTTCCCTTGCTTCACAGACACTATACGCTTACAAACAGGTATACCTTCTCCGGGACTCGAACCCGGGCCGATAAGTAGGGCATTCAGTGTCATTAATCACTGTACCGACTGGGCAACTCAGAGCCTGTACATTGTACACTGTACAAGCTACAAAAGGCGAAGGCACCTGCTGTCTAACAAAAGTAAATAGCTTTTTGCAGTTGTCTTCCACTGTTCATGAGCAACATTTCTCTGAAACTGCCCGATCGGGAATTTATATGAGGTTCATGGTCGTATAAAGGCTTTGGTGTTCTTATGAGGACAAAAATGCTGAGTTGTGCATGCAATAGTGTGACTATAACTTGCTTATAAAAGATACATCAAAATGATAGTAGTAGATTAGATAAATAGATTAAAATCATATAGAAACTTCAGGCATATTTACACATGATAAGTACGTTTATACGCGGTTACGTATTGCACTTGATTACATTATTACATTGAAGCATTAAATATCATATATATTTATAATATATATTATAAATATGTATGGTATGGTATACATGCTTGGAATACATGGTATACATACATCACATTTTAAGCATTCTTCTTTGTGATTTACATATTATTCTTGAATTATATATCATGCGTGCATTAAAGTATTAAAAGAGTATATTAGGCTAAATAAATGCATATTGTTGTATATATTATGCTTCAATTACATGTTATACCTGCATGTTATGTGTACTTCCTATACTTGAATTACATATTATACATACATTAAATATTATGCTTCCTTGCAGTACTTGATATATACTGCACTTATTTTGCATGTTCATACGTTACATTTTATGCAGACTTACTAAACGTGATTTATATATCATAATTGAGTTATATGTTAAACATACGTAACAATAATTAAAGAATACAATACGGAAGAACGAACTGAGCTAAATTAATAAACAATTTATAGGTATACATGTTATACGTATGTTTTATGAAATCCCTGTACTGAATTTCGACGTTATTTGAGGCAGTTTTGCATTCCTATTGCGTAAACTTTTTTTTTGCCAGTTAATGCTGTCCACGCTCATTAGATTTCTTGCTATCACTGTACACTCTTTAAATAATCATACGTAAAGATCCATATTTCACTTCTGCTTCTGAAATGATAAGACCCATCTCATGAACTTCAAATATTGGACCGTAGTTGAAATTCTCTTTCTAAGAGTGGAAAAAGATCTAGAAGCTAATACAGATGTCTACAAAATTATATATGCACTGGTGGACTCAATTTATGGTATGCATAGGCAGCATGCACTCACTATGTATATTGAATGGGCTTTCGTACTAGTTCTGTGGCAGCATTTTAGTGTAATTTCTCTTTGCAGTCTAAAATTTTTATGAATATGAAGAGATTAGAAATCATACCTTATCAGTAAACATGCCATAAAAACTTTTTATGCATCATATGCAAATCTTACCAAAAGCTATTGCCCGCATTGCAGTCATTAAAAAAAAAGCAAAATTGAATACCAGGGAAGTTTCAGTCTTTGCAGAGTGAAGGGAAATGCAAAGCTACTCGTAAGACATAAAATGTGCGTAGATATGGCAGAAATTCTCCAGTGTTCTTAGTTTATAGCTACTAAAATGAAAGTGTAGAAATATTAGAATCAATAGGCAGATATTTGAAGTTGAATCTGCGAGTGAAATATTGGCGTCCATTAGCAATGCATGAATTATTACTTACATATCAACATACATAAACACAAGAATGCTTGCGAACTGATGCTACAATAATTACAAACAGTATCTTTGAAAGCAAAGGTCATCTTCGCAGCTGAATGTATGATTTATTACCGTTCCCTTGGATGGATTATTTTTTGCTCCTCGGGAAGCGTAAAATGATATTTCTTGTAAGAAACTGCATATAAGCCACAACGTGATATAGGCTAAAATGACAGAAACGTATTTGTTTGGTCTCTTTGAATTTTGCCAATTTTGCAACTCCCAGTAACCATCTCGAAATGTTTCAAAGAATGACCCACACCAGAATTGTAAACGGCCGGCTGAAAAATTGTACAGTGGGCTAAGGACTATAGAGCACCGGTACGTTTCGCAATGACTGTTAGAAATGGTTTGATTATATTTCTTCTAAATTTGGTAGATAGGATAATTGTGCAAATCGGATTAATTGGTGTCCAAGAAGCCTTGTCTAATGACAAAGGATAATGTAATTTGGGGTTTCATCAAATACTGTTAACGTCGTGGTAGGTCATTTAACAAAACGTGAGGTAAAAATGTCGTGACTAGCAACTTCCAGAATGTCGAGGCGTCCATCGTGGACATTTTACAAATTATCCAAGTTATTTATAGGTTTTTGCAGCTCAGTGAGTAAAATAAGCTAAGTGAGTAAAATCCGCGATAAAGATATCCGCGTATCTATTCCCGGCGAAGCTCAGTTCTTTCTAAGACTGATACTTTAAGCAATTCAAGGCTTTACAACTTTCTTCCATTTGTCATCGTCCAAACTGTACAGCATTCATATTCTCCACCTCATTTGAGGCTATAGGGGAAGTCAGCCTTCATTCGTGCGCTATTCACGATTCAAAATACTTTAAACAGAAATGAAACGAGAAGAAAAAATAATTAAGGAACTCGGCCATGTGCCGCACTTGTCGTTACCATGTTTATCAGGCACGCTTGACGGGAAAAATGACCCTATATTAAAGTAACAGACTATAGTAGACTTCATAATACTGCTGCATTTGTAATGCACTGGATGCACATGGAATCAGTGATAGATTGATAAAATTCATTTTCCCAAAAGAAACAATTTACAGCTCAGAAACTTTCGACAAATGTACTCCTACAGCTCTTTCCAGTATCACGGAACGCAATCAGTAGTTACACTTCAAACTACTAAACACATTAAAACAATGCAGTGCAAAGCGCATTTAAAAGGCGAAGTTCTCACGGAGATCTCTTAATAGTCCGAAATCAGTTGTTAACTAAAAACTGAGAACTGATGCTTTCTTGGTCTTGCAGCTTTTCCCGGCCGCCGGGAAATCTCTAATACCTTTTATTTTTCGAAATTACTGGATAGTATATACGGTTAAATTACATATAAGGGGCACATACGGTTATAATTAAATATAAGGATCAACTACCACAATTCAGTTATGGTATAAGTTATACAGGGACCGGACCAAAATATCGCCAAATAATCGCCATGTTTGGCAACTTTTGAACAAACGGTAAATTTGGCGACTTTTGGGATTTTCCTCCAAATTTGGCGACAAAAGGTGCTTGCCAAAACCATCGCAAGCTTTACGATATCTGGTCAATTTAGCGAGATAGCCATTTACCTCAATGTTAAATAGATTTGCCCCTGTAACCTTATTTTTCAGGCACAGTTTCGCTTTCTTCAGAATTTTCATGTTGCTTTATACAAAGATACTACAGTTTTAAACACAAATTTCGCTAAAATTATTTACATATCTACAAAAATTCGTAACAATACAATGATGAAGCATTTCGTAATGCATTTTTATGTTTCATAGATTTGTATCTAATGTTATTAAATTAGACCGCAAATTACATACGATGAGATAATATTACTTATATAAGACTTATGATGAAAATGATTAATTAATGTTTT